GATTTTTAGATATGATACAAAAGCACAAGCAACACAGAAAAAATAAATAAATTGGACTTAATCAAAATTTTAAAACTTTATGCTTCAGAAGACAATATATTAAGAAGATAAAAGCTGAAACCGGTTTGGCTCAGCGGATAGAGCGTCGGCCTGCGGACTGAAGGGTCCCGGGTTCGATTCCGGTCAGGGGCATGTACCTGGGTTGCGGGCACATCCCCAGTGGGAGATGTGCAGGAGGCAGCTGATCGATGTTTCTAGCTCTCTATCTCTCTCCCTTCCTCTCTGTAAAAAATCAATAAAATATATATAAAAAAAAGAAGATAAAAGATCCTCTGAATAAAATAAAACACTTGAAAATAATATATGTGATAAAGGTCAAGTATCTTGAATAGCAATTTTCAACCTTTTTCATCTCGTGGCACACATAAGCTAATTACTAAAATTATGCAGCACACCAAAAATAAGTATAATTTTGATTAATTTACAAAATAAATAATAATTACCTACTCTTTTGCTGCAAAGTTACTTCTAAATTTTTTTTTATTGATTGATTGAGTTTACAGAGAGGAATAAGAGAGAGATCAATTTGTGTTCCGCTTACTAACGCATTCATTGGTTGATTCTTGTATACGTCCTGATTGTGCATTGAACCCACAACCTTGGTGTATTACGACAATGCTCTAACCAACTGAGCTACACGGCCAGGGCCAAAGTGACTTTTAAAAAATGTATGTAAGGAATTCTAGTACCAAGAATTAACGATATCAGGTGCAATCTTATTATGCTACATAACCAATAAGATGCGACTCTATTATTATGACCTTTTTTTTTTCCCTTTCTTTTTGTTGTTGTCAATTTTTTCTTTGACAATCTAACGGAAAAGAGGCCAGTGCCCCTGACTAAATAGTCAGGCATTGTATGTTTTAAAAATTCTTGTGGCACTCCAGTTGAAAATTGCTGATCTAGAGTTATATAAACAGCTCTTATAATTAACAACCAAAAGATAACTCAATTTAAAAATGGGCAAAACACTTGAATAGACATATCTCTAAAGAAGATATACAAATGGCTAATACAATATGTGGAAATATGTTCAACATCATTAGTCATTATGGAAATGCAAATCAAAGCCACAACAAGGTACCACTTCACGCTTACTAGGATGAAGATTATATCTGAATCATCTATATATCTAATCTATATCTAATCTCCATATGTCCATCTCTATAGCCATATATATATATATATATTTATATTTATCTTTGTTGAAAGTTATACAGTTGCACCCTTTTTTCCCCACTGACCTCTTCTAGCCCTCCCGCCCCATAGAGTTAGCGTTTTAAACCCACCCCCACCTTCCCTCTGAGATTTATTAGTATGTTCCATGTTTTCATGTCTCTGCATCTATTTTGTTCATCAGTTTATTTTGTTCTTTAGATTCCACATATGAGCAAGATCATGTGATACTTGTCTTTCTCTGAATGGCTTATTTCACTTAGCATAATGCTCTCCAGGTCCCTCCATGCTGTTTCAAAGGGTAAAAGATCCCTCTTTTTAACAGCTTCATCGTATTCCATGATGTAAATGTACCACAGCTTTTTATCCACTCGTCTACTGATGGGCACTTGGGCTAGCTATCTGTATTTTTTAATTCAAATAACAAGCACTGTTGAGAATGTGAAGAAATTTGATTCTCATATATATAACCCTGGTGGGAAAATAAGGTGTAGTCATTAGGAAAAGCATTTTGGTGGATACTTTAATAAATAAGAAACTAGAAACACCAATCAGGGATATATGCACCCCTATGTTCATAGCAGCACAATTTACCATAGCTAATATTTGGAAACAGCCTAAGTGAAATAAGCCAGTCAGAGAAAGATAAATATCACATGATCTCACTCATTTTTGGAATATAATGAACAACATAAACTGATTTTAAAAAAAAACCAACAGATCCAGAGACAAAGAAGCATGGATCAGACCGTCAACCCTCAGAGGGAAGGTAGTGGAGGGTGGGGGTAAGGGGAGAGATCAACCAAAGGACTTGTATGCATGCATATAAGCCTAACCAACGGACACAAACACCAGGGGATAAGGGCATGAGTGTGGGGGGTGGGCCAATGGGGGGATAAGGACACATATGTAATATCTCAATCAATAAAAAATAATAAAGAAAACCTCCTCCAAAATAAATAAATAAATAAATAAATGTAGAATTATATATGATTCAGCAATTCTACTGCTCGCTTTACACTGAAAAGAATTAAAAACAAGTACTAAAACAGATATTCGTACACTCAGTTTAATTTGCAGCGTTATTCACAGTAGTCAAAAGGTGGAAACTATCCAAGTATCATTAGCCTAGATCAGAGATTTTCAGCAGGTGTGCGGAAAGAATTTTTAAACCATGCAATGCCTGACTGGTCAGGGGCACTGACCTCTTTTCCCTTAGACTGTCAAAGTAAAAAAATGACAACAGCCAGATACAATAGCCATCTGGTATGAATGAATCAAAATTATCCCTATTTTTTGTCAGATTGGCAAAAAAATATATGTTTTGATGTGCTGTGCAATTTTAGTAATTAGTTTATGTGTGCCATGAGATGAAAAAGGTTGAAAATTGCTGGCCTAGATGCATGTATCAACAAAATGTGGTGTATAGATATGATGCAATATTATTCAGCCATGAAAAGAAATGAACTCCTGACATATTCTACCAGATGGATACATCTTGGAAACATTATACTAAGTGAAAGAGGCCAATCACAAAAAGACCATGTATCATATGACTCTGTTTATGTGAAAATGTCCAGAATAGGCAAATCTATAGAAACAGAAAGTCAATGAATAGTTGTTTAGGGCTGAGGTGACTTGAGGTTGAAAAGTAAAGGGTACAGAGTTTCTTTTTAACGTGGCAAAGATGTTTCAAAATGGACTGTGGTTGCACTGCTCTGTGAATAGCTAATATACATTGCAATACTAAAATAGCCAACCTTTAAAACAAACATACCCCAAACCTCTCCCTGACTCCATATGTACTCTCTCACAGCCTCCTCTTGGGAGGTGTTTGCCTCTTAACGAAGCGTTGATCCCCATTCCTTTCACTTCACTGTCACACTGTAAATCAACTCTATATGGCGCAGGAGTCAACACCACACTGTTAAATATTTACTATGGATAACCATTCAGGTAAGTTCAAGCAGTTGAATTAACAAATTCTGAATGTGTGCCAACAGGCACTAGGCTATAGAAGCAAATAGGACAAGACCCCCTTTTCTCAAGTGAAAACAACAATGCAAAATAAACAGCCAGGACACACATTTGTGTAAACATTTAAAAGTGATGAGCCAGAAAATACCTGCTTTCCTGTTGGATGAACCAAAGGGAAGGGCTGTTCTCAGGAAGTGGTGTGTAAGTTAAGATTCTCGCTACCAAGGATCCAGCCAGAAAAGATAAAAGGAAAGATGACTCCAGCCAGAGGGCAAAGCAGGTGCAATGATGAAAATAGGTGGACACATCTGAGGAACTGCATGAAGTCCAGGGTGGCTGAGTAATAGCGGACCAGGGAAGAAAGGGACAAGGTGAGGTCCCAGAGCTAATGACACTGGTCAGGGACAGACTTGCAGGGGTGTGTATGGCCAGGTGAGAAGTTCCAACTTCCTTCTGCTCAATCCCTTAAGATTCTGTGCACATCTTCCTGTTCCATTTAACCCTCTGTATCCACCCCTTAGACTGTGCCTGTCCTAAAGAAAATGAGTTTCTTGTTCACCTTCCTCTTCGGGGTATAACCAGTGTCTACCCAGAACCTCAACAGAATGAACAGGCCACATATATCGATTCTGTAAAAAGGTACATTCCTAAATCCTGTAAGAAAATTTGAATAAAGTTCAAGTGGAAGAAAGAGAAGTTATTTCGAAAGTTAGTTAGTGTACAAATGAAGGCCAAGCAAGTTTCAATTGAATTCCTCAGGCCAGTCTCGTTATTTCTATCAGCGACTGAAGTTTCCCATATTGAAATCAGCTAAACTGAACATCTTCCAAACTTAATTAAACTCATTCCCAGAATTTGAAACATAAGACAGCCAGCAAAGAACAGCTTTTCCTCTGATTACTGCACAGTAGTTACTAACAGGTTCTCTAACTCAAGCCTACCCCTAAAGCATTCCAAATCGTTGTGCACAATCGTGGTAGCTCCCTCGACTTCACCACAGAGCTCTTATATACAGAAACGGAAGTGCTATCCTATATAATAAAAGGCTAATATGCAATCGACTGAACGGCAGAATGACTGGTCGCTATGATGCGCACTGACCCCAGGGGGCAGACACTCAACGCAGGAGCTGCCACCTAGTGGTCGGAACGGCAGAATGACTGGTCGCTATGATGCGCACTGACCCCAGGGGGCAGACACTCAACGCAGGAGCTGCCCCCTAGTGGTCGGTGTGCTCCCACAGGGGGAGCGCCGCTCAGCCAGAAGCCCTGAGCTGGGCTCACGGCTGGTGAGCACAGCAGCGGTGGCGGGAGCCTTTCCTGCCTCCATGGCCGCACTAAGGATGTTCGAATGCCCACAGGGAGCGGGCCTAAGCCGTCATTCCGACGTCCCCCAAGGGCTCCCGGACTGTGAGAGGGTGCCCCTCCCCCCGAGTGCATGAATTTCGTGCATCTGGCCTCTAGTTGGATTATAATTCTGAAAACTGAAACAGGATGAAGTACTCTCTTTGAAATAACATATGACAGCACATGCTATATAAATGACTTTTATTGCTACTATACCTTCACATTTGCATGTTGGATTTTCTGTTTGTACTACAGAGGATTCTGCTACAGTTCTAATTGTAACATTATTATCCAGAAAGGCACACACTGACTCTAATATAGTTGAGACAAAGCTAGCCAAGTAAACCTTTCAGAGTGTCAAACCATACAACTTTGCAAATACCGGTAAAAGCCTGTTCCTTTGGGAGGAAAAGAAAAACACATGGTTTTTAGCTGGCTTACTGTGGCCTTGAGGCTTCCGCCTGGTCTGTCTGCAGTTTCTCTCCTCCTTCTACTTCCATTGTGCAGTAAACAATTCGATTGGGAGCGACTGACTTCAAACCTTGCACTTCCATTATGACAATCTAAGGGTAAGAAAAATGTTAAATGATATGTCAAGTTGACAATGTTTAGCTATTGATAGAGACCGCGGCATAAACAACTAGATAGACCAATTGAAAAAATTTTCTCGTAACATAAATGGAATTTTGTCTTCCCAAGTATCCCTCTACTTACTATCCCTCTATTCATGTTAGGGATGGTAAAAAAATCATTCTGAGCATCTGAAGAGGTATTGCCTGACAACAATTAAAGTAATAAGGTTAAGTCTCTAAATATAACTCCCAGTGAATCAAGTGAGATTTAAACTCAGATCCTTAAACAATTACAGCAACTCTTTATACAGTAAAACAAAATTACAAATGAAAAGTCAGTGCATTTGATAAAAGGAGTATACACTGAGTTCCACAGGAAGTGTTATAATATGTATTGCTGGCAGACACTGTCACCATCAGACCAATTCACTGATGTCAATATGTGACAGCATCAGAAATTTTCTATTCTCACTCATTTCAGATGACATTATGAAAGAATTTTCTAAAGAAAATTAAACTATTTAATTTTAACTATTATACAAAGTATTTACAAAAGAATTTTCTTTATGGCCATTTTATAACATTATCAAAATAATGAAAAATATAACACCACTAAACATCTTAATACCAACTTGCAAAGGAAAAGGTAGTTTCCACCCATTAAAGGCATACACTAGTTTAATGCAGTGCACTGGGAAAGGGTGCAGACACGGATACTACATTATGGAGCTATAATTCCTGAGGGAAAGGGAAACTGTTTTTCAAGTATGTTTTCTATCCTATATTATAAAGAGGTAATATGCAAATTGACAGTCATGCCCTTGCCCAAGATGGCCACCCCCATGTGGGCACAAGATGGCCTGCAAGAGAGGGAGGGCAGTTGGGGGCAACCGGGCCAGCAGGGGAGGGAAGTTGGGGTGATCAGGCCAGCAGGGGAGGACAGCTGGGGTGACCAGGCCGGCAGGAGAGGACAGTTGGGGGCGGTCAGTCCAGCAGGGGAGCAGTTAGGTGTCAATCAGGCTGGCAGGGGAGTGGTTAGGGGGTGATCAGGCTGGCAGGCAGGCAAGCAGTTGTGAGAGGGATGTCCGACTGCCGGTTTAGGCCCGATCCTTGTGGGCCTAAACCAGCAGTCAGACATACCCTGAGGGGTCCCAGATTAGAGAGGGTGCAGGCTGGGCTGAGAGACACCCCCCCCCCAGTGCACAAATTTCGTGCACCAGGCCTCTAGTACTTTTATAAAAGGCTGCCAATCTTAAAAGATTCTTGCTGGATGTACACACAAAATACAATTATTTGCCACAGTTTTTTCCCATCAAACTTGAATCATGAAGTTCCCTAAATTCCCAAATTTTAATTTATAAAATATACTCAATGGCATTTTCATATATGCACATTCATTTCCGTACTGATCTCATGCTGTATTTGTATATGCAAGATTAGTAGCATTAATGCTATACAGCTACCAAAATCTTCACCAAAACACCCTCTATATCACTTATTTGATCACTCAATACATGATTAAAGTCATAATACTTTTCACAGAATTGTGATATGAACCTTAAGACCAAGCTCTCAAAGAAACAAACCATCTTAAAATAACTGTTTTTCCTTTCAGCTCTGCTGTAACAGAAGTGTCATGTTTATAAATACAAATGCATATTGCTTTGTTTTTTCATAAAAATATATGGAAAACCGATCACGAAAAAATAAAGATCAAATTCAGGACCACTTTCCTTCCTCAACCAAGCCTTTTCTCATTTTTTTTCACACTGAAATGCATAGCAACATGTGAATAAAAAATAAGGACTTAACTAAAAACTGACTAAGAGAATTAATGGAGAACAGCTATTATCTGTCACAGCTGCTCTAATACTCAAGGAAGTTGGGGTAAAATACTAAATCCTGTTTAAGAAAAATAAAACAAAAAATTATGTATTTTTAATAATCAAATTTACTATGTTAGTAATACTGAAACTCATTAGAACGGAAATAAAATAACCAGAAGCTGAGACAAATTAAATTTATAACCATATCAATTAACTTACCACCATGACTCTAAAGACTTCTTACTTCAATGATAAAAATTTTGGAGGGTCACTTAAAATGTATGAAATAGGAGAATTGTATCCCACAAGAGAAATCTAGAAATCCTGACGGCCTTGGTTCATAGTTGGGCATGGGACTGTTTGCACTGCATCTCTCTGTGTCTCTGTGATGTGTTTAAGAGCCAAAGTGCAAGAGAGAAGGAAGGAAGCATCTGCTTGACACTATTTCTGTCACCTCTGTTACAATTTGCTGTAAACAGGCTCTCCTAAAACATCCAACTTGTGAAACCGCATTCCGCCCCTCAGAACAATACGCCCATCTGTGCAGGGGATGTTTTATCCTGCAGAATTGCCACTTCCAAAAGATGTCACTTCTGTTATGAATCCATACACATAAATAAAACAATTCTACAGATAGAATTGCCAAAAGGATGAGAAAGGAAAAAAAAAAAGCCACACACAGCCAGTCTGAATCATTAATGATACAGAAGACAGCCAAGAATTAATTCTATGGACCATTAAATTAACCTAATTTAGGTAACTGTCTCAAAGCAATTCCCAGGAAGACGTGATAATGGAACTACAGAAAATAAAACAGTTCTGTTTCATCTTCTCTTCCCTGATCTCTCTGTGACCGACGTAATAAGGATGAAACAGACCACATTATCCTAGAGGCAAAAGGGAGGGAGGCATATACAAAACATGAAACTAGAAAACACTTCTGAGGAACACGTTGCCAAAGTGTTATGGGGCACTCAGACATGTGTAGGCTGTGAGGAAATGAAGTGGGCAGTATGGTGAACAGGGGATGTGTATCTCCAGATACAGAGGAAGTCAGGTCTGCCAGCCTAATCCAATGAAAACACTCTGTGTGAACATCCACTATGTCCATGCCATGACCCACTTCCCCTTATAACAGTGGTTCTTGACCTTCTGGCCCTTTAAATACAGTTCCTCATGTTGTGACCCAACCATAAAATTATTTTCGTTGCTACTTCATAACTGTAATGTTGCTACTGTTATGAATCGTAATGTAAATATCTGATATGCAGGATGATCTTAGGCAACCCCTGTGAAAGGGTCGTTCGAGCATCAAAGGGGTCGTGACCCACAGGTTGAGAACCGCTGCCTTATAACATAACTTCAGAGATGAACGTTTGCTATCCTGGCTTTACTTGAATATGTAATTTTAATATACCATTTTATGGCTTCCGGTTTTGTGGGTTAGCTTATCTCTTGCTTTATTATTCTCTCTGAAGGCTTCATGGATGAAGAGACCTAGAGTACCCTTGTATGGCTAACTGATGCTTTTTGGTGCCACCAAAATCCCTAATTAAATAAATATTTATCAAGTCCAGTATGTGTTGTAGGCTCTTGCTATATGCTTCAACAAACAAAAAAGAAAAACCACCAAAAATATCTTACCTTCCCGCAACTTACATTCTAAGTAGAAAAAGTCAGGGAATGAAAACATGTAACAAATGTCTAAATATGTCAGGTGATAAGAGCTGTGGGAAAAATTAAGCTAGGTAAGGGAACAAGGTGTGGTGGGAGGAGGGAGGAGTGGGCAGCAACTGAAAAATAAAATTGGAAAAGTTTTTCAAATCTGCACGTGTTCCTTAGACTCAGACTTCAGTTCTTAACAAGACGCCTTTCTCCACTGGACCAACTCCAAGCCCAAGTGATGTGTGAGGCCCTTAACCTGGATGAACTGCTTGCCTTTCAGAGTTTCTTGGGCTAAATCTGGGGTCTGAGGAGGAGGCTGGGAGAATGAGCTGGGATAATTACTCAGGTTAGCTAGGCCTGGGTCACAGGGAGTCCTACAGGTAAGTCCTGTGTAATCTGCTCTTCATGTGGTTTCTGTTTATTACTAGACATGTGACTTCTACTTAAAATACTGCGGGCACCAGGGAATAGATCTGTATTGTGCTTTCGTAGGAAATTATCTGCCTCCTATGGACAGAGCAATAAAGAATATCAAAATAATTTTATAGCCCTAGCTGGTTTGGCTCAGTGCATAGAGTGTTGGCCTGTGGACTGAAAGGTCCCGGGTTTGATTCTGGTCAAGGACACATGCCTGGGTTTCAGGCTCATCCCCAGTGAGAGCATGCAGGAGGCAGCCGATCAATGATTCTCTCTCAACATTGATGTTTCTATCTCTCTCTCCCTCTCCCTTCCTCACTGAAATCAATACAAAAATATATTAAAAATAATAATAATTTTACAAATATGCAAGCTTTTTATACCATGCAGAATTAAGTTTTAACTTGTATTCCCTAAGGCTATTTTTTTGTTGACTGAACAGACCCACTTAACATAATGGCAATAAAGTTCAGAATAATAATTCTTAGTTTCACTTAAGCACCAATTCACAGCATCTGAGATTTTTTAAACAGAGAAAATGTTTTGAACTGCTTCAATTTCTAAGTGCTTACAGAAGTAATGGTATATTTAGCCATTACAAAAAATAATTT